TGAGGAATTGTGGGAAAGTTAGGGTCTATTTATAAGGTTCGAAAAGTAGTGTCATTTTGGAGTAAAAAGGTACCTTTTGTTTGAATGGTTGCACCATCTCGAATTGAGCCAATTGGGAGTGGTTGCACCATTTCGAGTTGAGCCGAATGGTTTGCATTGGTTCGGCCGCACCAATTCAGACCAGTCAGACCAATCGAGATGGGCTTAGAGTAATAAGGGCCCAATGGGTTAAAAGCCCATGACCTAATATTTTTGATATATATACAGCTCAGTACTTCTCTACTTTTCCAATGTGGGATAACTCAAAATCCCACTTTCCTTATATTTTGGACTAGTAATTTTTTCATTCACCACAAAATTGGTTCTAATCCAAAATTCATTTATATACTCAATTTAGACCGTACAATAACATTGATAAAAAATTGTTCATGACTCAATTTTTAACCAATTTTCCCAACAGCGGCAACGATCCAAATCTCTGAGTTGCATCACGCGACAAGGATAGATAAGGCCTTCTCAGGCCATATAACACAACATTACAAAAACTATATGTAAAGACAAATTAGGTTAAATATAAAAAAGATGAACAAAATTGAAGACCCCACCAACCCATTGCATCACTTCTCTAAAGATCAAAAACAACCCGTGAGATGCAAAAACAAAAAACGAAAAAGCTCGTTGGACCAACACTTAAATCTCTGTCGCAAAAGACTTCAAAACGAATCAAGACTCGGTACGAATGAATTTCTTGAGGTTTGGTCGGTGCTTATGAAAATGATTTCAAGATTATATCGAGAGTTAGTGATAACGTAGGGGCATTACATATGCTTAATGACTAGTCAGTTGTGGAGATGTTTGGATTATTGACTATGTGGTGCTGACTTCTACACCAAGACTAAGTCACCGTTAGAGTAAAGATAACCATCACAGATACAATAATGTTAACTTACAATCTTTATCTTATCGATCCACAGAGCCCCACTTCACACAACCATGCAACTTTTCTTGGGCAGCTAGTGAAAACGACAGAGTGTGCCTGCAATACGTTTCTACGATATATGGACACAATACAAGATGATTTATACTTCTCGGCAAGATTCGACTATTTCTACAGTTCTCACCGATTAAAGAAAAAAAAAAAAATCTATGTCCTTGTTTACAATTGGACAGTAAAATAGTCCAAGGATCAGATTTTGGATAATGAACGGTAAATTGTTGAGAAAAGCCAATCGAGAATTATTAGCAAGCAAAGATTTAAAGGAGACTGACTACATCAAAACCATGGCAAAAAAAAATGTAACAAACGGGGAGAAGCAATAATGACGAAGGGGTAGTATATATAAGAAGCCCTATTCAGCAAAAACAAACATGATTTTGGACACAAGACACTTCAATTATCAAAGAAGTTCGATTTATCAGCAAGAAAGCGACTACTTGACAGCTATTGAACATAAGCCCTAGGATTCAAATACGGAACAAATTATTTTAATAACTAATCTGAATTACTGTCTTTGGATCTTATCATGGCATCAACGAAGAGCAAAGATAATAAAACTCTAGTTTATGCCGACACCAAAATTCTCTACATAGACGAAACGAACATATAAGTATGCACCGAATAGAATGGAGCTATGCTATTAGAATACCATCAATACAAAATTTAGAATGCAATACTTGAGGCTGCGTGTTAGCATTAATCATCTGAACCATCCAAAGATAAGACGTTGATTTAGCACATGTTTAAGAGCACTAAACGGGAGCAATTAGTTCTAACCAATCTTTTACAATCAATCTAATTAATTGGACTAATTAGTAGCATGACTTTCATAAAAGAACTTAGAACAAGACATCTCTATTTAGGTTTTCTTAATCATAAAAGATCGAACTTGCGTTGTTAATCGTAAACAGAGTAATTTGTAGGAGGGAAAAAAATAAGCGAAAGCTGAGGATAAATTAATCTACTTTACTGTACAAGAACAAGCCTCCCACTCTCCTCTGCGCCGCCATCCGCCTCCTCCTCCACATCCGCCGCTCCTTTCGGCACCGTGACCACCAATTCGCCGTCTTCGTATACGGCGGTGGCGAGCTCCGGCCGCATCGTGGCCGGAAGCCTAAACCGCCACAAATCCAGTTCCAACTCGGTTCCGGACAAGTCAACGACTCCGTTTCCCCTGATTACAATTTTGGTAACCCCAGGGTAGATCTCGATTGCGTCGGCCCTAACGTCGCCGGTGATGTCGTCGGTGGCGGCGGTGAATCTGAGGAAGTCTGGCGTCTCCACCACCGTGACATCGGCGTCGGAGTGGAAGGGGAGCTCTAGAACCTTGGCGAAGATGTGGGGGAGCCGCCGCAGTTTTTTCTGGCGGCAGCTGTTGGCCTGAGCTAGAACCGATGCGACGTCGTATCGGAGGGTGATGTTGCGTTTTCTGGGCACCGGGTGAACCTTCATCTGTGCGTGGATTTGATTTTGATTTTGAAGAAGAAGAAGAAGAAAGAACCCTAGAAAAGTGACGTAGGCCAGATTATTTAGGATTATTAATCAAAGAAGAAAATCCAGATTACGATTTGAGGCAAAGCAAAAAAGAAGAAGAAAAGTTTCAATTAAATAACAAATTGAGGCAAAGAAGAAGAGATTGGGCGGTTGTAGGAAAGAGGTTAATAATATGCAAAAGCAAGATAGAATTGTACGAATTGTAGAAACAACAGGAGAGAGAGAGAGAGAGGAGAGAGAGAGAGCATCAATGTACTTTTTGTGTGTGTGTGTGTAAAACTGTGCACTTGTGTGTGTGTATGTGTTCGTGTGTGCAAATCAAATCCTTTATGTTTCACTAGAACAAAAACGTAGGTCCCAAAAGATGCAATTTTGGAACAACTTCTTTCGTTTCGATTTCAAAAAAATTAATTTTTGGATTATTTTGGTTTAAAATTTTAATATATATAAAATAAGTTACTAACTAGAATTTTGATTTAAATTCCAAGAAAATCCAATACATAAAATATTTATTATTAATTACGTATACAAATAAACGATTGGGGAAAATCTCACATTTTAACTACTTTTTGTAATGTGGGATTGCTCAAGTAGCTCAATTTCCCTTCACAATTCTCTGTTTCAATTACTACAATTTGGCTAAGATTTTTCTTACCACCAATTGATTTGAATTGTTGGCACCAGATTTTTGTTTGTGAAGATTGAAGAAATCCGTCATACGTGAAAACTAAAGATTGGCAAATATTTGTTTTCCATGTTTATTTTGGAATTAATTAGAGTCCTGTTCTTGTAATATTTTTAAAGATTGGCAAATATTTGTTTTCCATGTTTATTTTGGAATTAATTAGAGTCCTGTTCTTGTAATATTTTTAAAGATTGGCAAATATTTGTTTTCCATGTTTATTTTGGAATTAATTAGAGTCCTATTCTTGTAATATTTTTATTAGGACTTAGATTTATTTCCATGTATTATATTCTACTTAGGTATCTTTTGTACTTGTCTAGAATAGAAGTAGAAATCGACTAGGATTCTATTACCTAGTTAATCGATTTCTTAGGGCTCAAGTTAGGTTTAGGGTAGTGGATTTCGTGCCTATATAAGGCCCTCAATCTCATATGAGTCCCATTTTTCTTTAATAAGAAAAATCCCAGCATAAAGGCTTTGAAGGGTGCTGCCCGTGCTGCAGCCCTGTCTGCACGGCAGGTGTGGCAACATAACAGGTTTCTTCTACCATGCCATAAAGAAGATCGGCGTTTCGGGAGAAGTGCTTAAAAGATCGGCGTTTCGGGAGAAGTGCTTAAAAGATCTCGGGAGATGTCGATCCGCCGTTTGAAAGGAGTTCAACATTGGAGGAAGTCCAAGAGTGCGGAGGAGGAATTGCTTTGATTATCAACAAGTTCGAGTCGTGTGCAAGAACGGCGTATCACATAAAGATGGAGTCTTTAGTGTTTTATTAAGTCCTATTAATGTACACTTAAATCTGAACTAGTTTTGCAAGTTCTCGTGAATGTATGGTACATTTGTATCCGTGTTCTGTATTCTGCTTTTAGTAGATTAGTTACTGTGACAACACAAGAATTCTGTTACCACACTTAATGTCGTAACACGTAGTTTGTCTCAACTCTCAACAGATGAGTCGATATCCATAGGCATTTAAATTCAACAGAAGCCAATACTCATTGTGTAGATTTACATAATCCAAAGTTTGGCTTCTATGAAACTAGTATTTCATCTGTACAATGCACGAGTTATTCATCGTGAGAACGAATATGTGATTATGAAAAAGTTCTCGAAATAGTAAGACTAATGGTTGATATGCAATACAAAGTAATAGTTATACTAATAATAATACTAATATTAATAGAAATATCTTTGGAACAATATTTTTAGCTATTTGTGTCACATGTTGCTAGTATCATAGTTAGAATTCGGATAACCAATAGACGAAAGAGTCGATCAACACAAAAAATTGAAAATCAAGAATTCTCATATAACGATGTAAGGTCAAATCTTAGCCTCCCACACCATGTTGTAGTTTTTACCCTACTTATGTTTTGTGTGTTACATCAAGCATAATGAAATGTAATGTATCTTGTGATGCATTTGAATGAATGTGGTT